TCTAAGCACCCAGGTGGCCTCCCCATCCCCTTCAGAGGACACTCTCTCCCCATTTGGGCAGGAATGAGGTCATTAGATGGCACACCAGCAGGGAAATTCTTAACTACATATGCACACATGTTGCAGAAATATTCCTTTTTGCATAAGAGGACCAGGAGAAAAAAGGGAGCACAATTAGGAGGGGCCTGAGTGCAGAGAGCCAGCTGCTTGCAAACGCAGTTGAGATAAGGAGGATGAAGATATGAAGATGCAGAAGCTGGAAGGAAAGGAGGATGGGAAGAAGATAGACCACAGAGGGAAGGCACGTACGAAAAGGACCTAGAGTTTGACAAGAAATAGTCTTCTTATTTTTCTAGAAAAGCCAAACAAAATCTCTGAGGTGTGTAGGTGCTTCCTAGACTTTCCGATAGCTATAATCTCTTACTTTGGAATGAAACATCTCAACGGGAACTAAAGCCAGCTCCCCCTCCCTTCACCCCTTAAGACAGAAATCCTTTTGAGTATTTTAAGATCACCCTAAAATTATCCCAGCTCTTGCGCACTCCTGCGTTCTCATACAGATCATAGTTTTTCCATGTCCCATGGAGTGCATTGAGGGAGGAAGACGCAGACAATGGTTACACCACCAACTTCCAAGAAAAACCAGGCAAGAGGGTTGCTCTGCCTCTGCCTTGATCAGTTGCTGCTGATCATCTGTTGGATGCTTAATGAGATACAGCCAAGGACATCATTACTCGCATCTTGAGTGCTGCGTATTCCTGTAGTAGGTCATGCTGGCCACTCTACCTTCTGTCCTTCCTGGCCTTGCCTAGAGATAGAGAAATCTGCATTGCAAAGGAGGGGAGGGAAAAAGAGAGAGCATGGACACTTGTTTTACCATTTAAACTCTATTATTGCTGCCAGTAAGTTAGATTTTGAAGGTTAATGCTCCATACCAAGGAGGAGACTAATTTTTGGAAAATGTAAGTCTCACGTCTACCAGTGGCATGGGTACAAAAATACTAACAGCTTTTACTTTTACATGTTTTTTTCAATACATACAGGACTGATGTTATAATTCATTACTTGCTCCCTGGCAGGGAGGCCATTGCCCTTCCTCTAGCAACAACGAAACCCAGACTTCCTCCTGTTGCACTGACAACCTCAAGAAACCATGTCACCAACTCTCTTAGCCTAGGCCAAAATGTCATGTAGATGGTAGAACAAAAAATAGGTCTGTAACCATCCTCAAAACCTGCTCCAGACAGCTTTGAGCTGTAAGAACTTGTCTGGTACCAAGCCACAGTCAAATGTTAGTAGAATTACATTCTGGATAAATTACCATGTTACTCAATCATGTGTGAAAAATTCTTAGTTTTTATCCTTTTTTCCAGAAAATCAATGATCTTTCCTTATTTCTTTTGTCACTTTGTCTTCTTTTTGTTCATTTTTCTTACTGACTGCTCTTCTGCTTTAAACTGCCTTTGATATCTGATTTTCTACGTGTTAAGCACATTAGCCATTTAAAGAATATATATTTAAAATTAAATCAGCCTATTCTTGGTAGAATGCTATATTTCTGCTTTTCACAATGCATACTCTTTTGCAGTATATTTCTTTTTTAGGCAGTTGCTTACTGTGAAACACTGCTAACTGGGGGGGAAAAAAATTGGTATTTTGATAAAAAAAAGAAACAGTGGCTTGAAGTTCAAAGAGCGCATACTCTGGCACATTTATGTCTTGAGCTTAATAGCATGAGGCCTAATGCTGCAAAATGCCAAGTGCCCTGGGCTCCCACTGCAGTCAATAGGAGTTGACTATTAGCACCTCGCTGATGCACTTGGGTGCTAATAGCATGAGAGACACTAAACTTGCTGGCTCAGCTACACAGCACAGACTTCCTCCTCCTCATTCTCCTGACCATTGAACTTCAGAAAAGTCCAGGTCAATTTTTTTTGGTTTCTTGAGTTCCTCAAGTGGAGCCAATTTCTGGAGTGTCAAATCCTGCAAGGGGTTTGCTGGTCATTAGCCCATTACAAAGAATTTCAGACGTTACCATCTATGCTCTTACGTGAATTCTGTGGGGTTTTCCTGATGCTGGCCTTAAAAAATCATCCCGGTTAGCTGAAGAGATCCTGCAAACTACTGTTTAGGCCTTCTGAAAGATTTTTTTTCCTTCCCCTGAAGTAGAGATCTTTCACTGTCACTTCCAGAGTCTATATTGATGACTTTTTGCTTTCTTGCAGGTTTTTGGCAGTATCCAGTGTTGCCAAGGGTGATTTAATTCCCAACTTCCAGCCCAATCCCCAGGCTTCCTGGCACAGAGACAGCTTTTCCAAGGCTAACTCAAACACAGGAGATGGTGAGTCGCTTTCTACCCTCATACACAGAGACGCTACACATGAGTTTGTGAGGCATATACCTAATTTAAAGGTGATCAAATTCATTTAGTTGGGTCTTCTATAGAGGTTCTGCAAAACATGTTGAATAGGGAGTTGAGATTGACCTTCCCACGAAGTAGTACAGGAGGAAAGAAAGGTCTGCACTGTCAAAAGCCTAAAGTAATAGAGGAGGCAAATGTAGCCAGGTGAGGGTTGACCTGCAGGGTTATTGCAGGCTTAACTGGGCAATCTGAGTACACACAGCACAATGGAAAGCTGCAGATCACCCGAGGAAAAGATGTCAAAAAGAGCAAACCGTTTGAGGAAAGGAGGGCAGCGGCTGATGGAGGGACAACTGCATAAATGGAGAATTTCCAGCACAGTCTAAGAAGTTCAGGCACTGTAGGAGAAGCTTAGGCTGCAGTCCTAGATCTGACCGACCTTCTCTGTGGCCTTGGGCGTTTAAACACTCAACATCCACTTCAGCTGAGGGGAAAAAAACAATGGTGGCAATATAACGCTTCATTTCACAGATATATTTTAAAGACTTAACCTTTGTAAGACATTTTGAAGATGAAAAGCACAGCAGCACTCATTGCTTCGCTTAACCAAATTTCCCTGTGCCTAGCTGAACCTAAAATCTTTTGATGTTAGTTCATCACAAAGATATTTTGTAAGAAGATTTTTCTCACTTTTGTGTTGGCCTGTGGCCATTTCATGCCACTATATCCTTGGTTTTATTTCTGGTTTTGCTATGTGTAGTTTTTCACAGAAGTTACTTCTTCCATAGCACATAAATGTAGTTTTTTAGCAACGTGAAAGATGAAATCCCCAAATTCTTGTTTCCCATAATGATGCAAATCAGCAGCTTAGTGATAACATTTCATAAAGCACTTAGAACTGGTTTGAATACAAAAATCTTTAAAAACAGAAGGATAAAACTTCCTGCAACAGTATCAGGAGACAAAAATGTCATTTAGTATCGAGACATCTGGATAATAAAGTGAGAAGAAACAAATTAACATCTTCAGCAGTCAATTGCCTGTGCAAATACACATGAAATATGATTGCCCATAAGTGGACCTCAAAACTCCATGTGCTGAGAGGGAGTCGAGCAACATGCCACCATTTGGCATTCAAAGACATTCTTCCTGGGGTATTTGATCTCATCACTTTTTTGCTAGAGGAAGAAACAGACCCTCAAGGCTGATGGTTTCACATGTTCAGCACTCCTTACCCTCACTTATACCTACACAAGTTCAGAGACCTCGCATCTCAGGGTTGTGTCCACATTCTGGGTGTCTGAAAGACCCATCAAGGTGCACTGTAAGAGTCTTAGAGTGAGAGAGGCAAAGACAAGGTTGTTGTACCTGTAATAACAGAACAATTAAGAAGCATCACTGGGTAACTGCAAAACTGATGAAAATAAAGTCATGGCATAGTTTCATGCTAATCTTAATGAAACATAGAGGTTTTAGTGAAAAATAGGTTGGAATACAGGCCAGTTACAAGCCTTTACAAGCCTTTCCTGCTGCCATGGAGAACGCATACAGAAAGACAAAGTTCCCAAACTTGTACGGTTTTACACTTCGAAGCTGGGTTTTACCTTGACCAGGAATTCCTCTGACTGCCAAATTAGAGGATGAATGAACCAAGTACTGGAGGTATAGGCTGAACGAGAGCTCTTCTGATCTGTGACCTCATTGCTGCCTAATTTAGTTTTTGAAAGGGGGATTAAAGAATGCATCATAATTCAGGAGAACTTAATTGCATATCTGCAATAAGACTTACGTAGCAAGGCAAAATAACTGCTAAGGCTTCAGGAAAGCAGCAACGCAGATGATGCTCTCTGTCTCTAACAGTGTTTTAGCCCATGAGTGGGCACAAAGTGTGTGCTCTGGTCCATGCTGGGTTCAGCTATGAAAGTTAGCAGCATCTGAACCAGCTGCAGGTAGGGGGTTAATGCCTCTCAGCGCAGCTGTGCCCATAATACAGAAAAGGACGAGTTTTATACTGTATCTGGGAAGTTCAGCAGATTCAGGTGTGGGGACTGTTTGGTTTGAAAGATTCTCTTTGCTATTCTCTTACCATTTTTAAAACCTACTTTCTCTCTTGCTATTTATTGCTTTGTATTTAGTACCAGAGAAATGTTGGCTAATCATTAATTCAGCTATAACACCTGAGGTGGCATTACAGAGAGAAATTACCTAGTAGGAGAAAATGGAAGGGAGGTATAAACAGGGCTTTTTTTTTTTTCTTTTTTTGATGGAAATGGGTTTGCTGGCTGCATGCTAGTTTCCGAAAGACAATGACAGACTGGCAGCTTAAAGAAAACAGGTCCTGACAGCAGACTTTAGTGCACCAAATGTTTTGTAGCAGTTTGTGTCATATAAAGCACTTTCGTACCAGCAGCGCTCCAGCAGCAAAGGGTTGCTCTGTCCCGGGCAGAACCTTTTGTCTTTGCATCGTCACGGGAGTCAATGGAGGCAGATATCAGAATTATAAAACGTGTCTCCGGCTGGATGTATGCGGAGTGTCAGCTTCTCCCGTAAGCCCTCTCTGTATTCCTGCCAAGAGCAGCAGTGCAGCTCAGCAGGCAGGCAGGGATGCAGAGAGGTATCAGGCGTGTACTACTGTTATGTTAGTGCCACTTTTGTTTTAATCCTGAGCTGACTTGCTGAAGAAAAGAAATAACCTAAGCAAAGGAGAAAAGGGAATGCGATTGAGAGGTGAGCGTGTGTCTGATTAGCACTTGCTGTGCAAGTTCCTTACATTCTGGCAAAGGTAAAAATACTGTAATGAGGAAAACAGCACCTTTTCAAGTATTTCTTTTAAAGGATTTATAAGGACAACTTATTTCTAAGATAAATATAGGTAATACATACACTATCTGCCACTTAAATAGAGAGCAGGAGGGAAATTAGAAAGCAGAGTATCTTGTTTACATTACATTGCCTTCTTCAAGCAGTGGTGTTTGTCATTATTAATTAATCGTACATTTCTTAGTATTGGAAGAAGGGAAATCATTAATACTAATACTGACATAAGTAAAATAAAGGATTATTCCTTATGGCACTGTCAAGCCCAGTTTTTGTGCTAGTGAAATCCCATATGCCTGTGGCAATGAAAAAGTAACCGACTTGCCAAAATTTTCTTTGATTTCTCAGAATTTTAGAAACGAGAAAGACGTCTGAAAAGAGAAAACAGCCCCTCCCATGCATTAAGCCCTAAACGCTGTCTCTGCTTTCAGTATTGTTGACTTTGAGACTCAGTACTTTTTCACATTACCATCACTGTTTCATGGACTTTTTTTGCTTTAATGAATTTCTGTGTTCAGGCATATAGCTATTTTCTTGGCTATCTTGCTTCATTATTCTGATGGAAGCAGTCTTTTAATTTAAAACATTATTATTAAAAGTAATGCATGAAAGGCTTATCTGTAAGATATATTGTTTTGGCAATAGATGCAAATCAAAATGCAACTGTCTAGCTACTCAATTACATATTTTAATGGAAGACACCGAGTAAAGCTTAGGCACAAAGGAGAAAAGTAGTTGTCAGCATTTATCATTTAAATTACCAGGATATTTGTAGACTATTTATATATTTCTTATACCTCAATAAGGTCGAGACTGAAGCTAGTTCAATGGACAGCAGTTAGCTTGTGAATTCTCTGTCCTTGGAATACATTGCCACAGCAGTATTCCAAAAGGACAAGCTATTCTTGCATCTTTTCTCCAATGCATCAAGCACTAGCGTCTTTCAACATCAGGCAGGCTTATTTATGCCACTTCTTCTTTTGTAATCCACATAAATATTCACCATCTAGTTGTCTTTGAAAGTTCTCCAAACTTTTGTTTCTTTGTGATCTTACAGGGTACTCAATATCACTTAGGCTAACGGTAGTCCATAAGAATGAGCTTTAAATAATGCCTTTGCTGGGACACACATCAGACACTAAGCTGTCTAAATTATGTTTGGGTTTACCTTTAGTTTTGGATCTTGCAGGGTTTTGGTTTTTTTCCTCAGCTCAATACAACTCAACTGACTGTAGCTTATTGAAAATCCTGAAGTTTACCAAATAGTGGTTACAGCATCCTGCAGGCTCCCGCTGACCAACAAATTCACACGATACGAGTTCATCTGTGCCTTAGCTGGGGAGGTGGCATGGAGTCTAACCCCTGCAGTGCTCCATGTAACTCAACCCTTAGCTCTTTCTTCAGAGCTGGTGTGTTCTCTACTGCTCAATCTCCTGGCAACCACCTCAATCCAGAGACCTTTGCGATGCCACAGAGGTTGAGGAGATCTCTGTAAGGCTGGGATCCGGGATAATGCATTCTGAGTGTTCATGAAGTCAGAAAATCATTTGGGCTCACAAAATCTTCTAAAATATGCAAGACGAGTCTTCTGGTACCTTAGTCCTTCCCAAAGGGTGATATAATGCAGATTTGAAGTGCCAGCCTACCCAGGTCACATGTTGCTGCCCATGTAAAGAGAGAAAGTATGCTCTGAAACCTCAAGGTCATGAAGTACTTTGCTTCACTGTACAAGCACCTCCAGCAAGAGAGAGGCATAAACTCATCATCTTGCTGTGCAACCGATTCATATCTAATCTGCAGAGGGGTTGTTTTTAACTGATTTTTGTGTTTGACCACTGTTACTTGCCTGCTGGCCATCTTTTTGTTGTATAGCAGTCTGTCAGCTGAAAGCTAGCTACATAGATGTTCATACAGACAGTCACCACATAAATATTAGTATTTCCCTATTTGCAGATAGCTCAACTAAAACAATCTGGAGTTTGTAGACAGCAACAGTGCTGGTAGCTATACATTTTTCCTCAGCACTGAACTAGAGTTCATTCCAACTTTTTGACCAGTCTGGTTTCCTCTCTGATCTCCGTACCTGCACTCTTAACATAATGTGCTGACCTTGTCTTTTGACAGCTTAACAAGGAGTCATCATGATAGAAAAAAGTTAGGAT